GGAAAAGCTCATGGAAATAGTTAAAATCTACTCAATTTGAAAAATTGTATTAATGGTTTGGAAAAGTTCCACTAATTCTAATGGGAAATTTTTTGCCAAAAGATTAGGCGTATGAACTGAGTAGTCGACTTTTCTCGCACGTGTCACTCGAGTGTGTTACTGGTGTTTTCACGAAGGTGAAATCTCCCGCAAAAAACTTAGCGGGCCGAAGCCAGATAAGAAAAGAAATCTGACTAAAGACAGATTGGTCGAAATTAAGCCGTTAGGCGGCAAATGGATATCAGATAAAGCCTTCCCGAACAATGGTACAAAAGTAATAATAAACCGTCGATTAAAATTAAGCTAAATTGATAAATTTCCGGCATCTGGTATTCGATCACCTTTTTCTTTAAGATTTTGAACAAAGTTTCTATCTTATGGTCAAAAAGCTATTCATTTTTGGTCGACGTTCAAATTAATATAAATTTGGAAAATTATAATTACCGAATGTCGCGAATTGACAAATTACTCTAACCAGAGCGCATGTCATTTATTTCATAATTTTTCAATTTCGAATGTTTACATAGTCTGTGAACTTCCAGAGACATTAACGGCAGATTCATGTTTACTTAAATCCTTTCCGTTCAAGAAAATGAATAAAAAAGTAAACAGCCAGGAAATAGTTTTTCCGATGAATAGTAGAGTTCTCTCAAAAAGGCGGAGTCAGTTCAAAATTTTATTCATCAATGAAGATAATCGATATTTCCCGCACGCCATAATCCAATCTTGTCGCCTGCATGTAGCAAGCCAAAAATAATGGTACTAGTACGAGTTATTCATCAGACAAACCAACGCAATTATTTTCTTACTTATAAATTACCTGAAAACCACTAGCACTCTAACTAACTGAGTATAGTAGTAGCAGAGAAAACCACTACTACCTAACTGAGTATATCAGTCTATTTTCCTTCCGAGTTCCCCCTTGTTGTGGGAAAAAAATATTTTTTTGCGCATTTGAATCGCACAAATAGGTCGAAATGGGTTACATATCAAACAAAAATACCAATTGTGTTCCTTTACCGATGAATTACCAAACAATAATGCACTTTTTACCTTAAGAGTAAGCGGATTCCTCGTCGAGGTAGCAAATTGTTATTCCCTCCCAGGTGAGTCACTGACGTTTTCTGCACTTCCAACGTGCTTAGGAGTCTATTAAACAAGAAACTAGTCGTGCTTAGGGTCACGTAACTCAAGAGTTAAGACTGACAACCTCACCTCCTTGTTTTATTTCTTTTTCCTTTCCATTTAGCTGAACAAACATTGTTCGGAAATAGAATTTGAGTGTTCACTTCCCGCTGTAAAACTTAGCGTGCTTTTTTTCCTCCAAATACATAAATGCTTCCAGAGTCATCGATTATCTGGCGGACGGTTCAATCCAATTTACGAACCCTTGAACATCCCTTGAGAGACCAAAACAGAATTTCTCCTTACAACATCAATATAATATGAAACAGACAAGTGATGAGAATAAAGAAGAAAATCAAGGAGGGAATTATCAGTGAATCCAACACCAAATTCTCCTAACTAACTTCATATGAATTGTATGGTAGACACCAAGGAGAATTTACAATGAGATCTTGGGAGTGAAAGGATTAATTAGTCCGCGCGAAGTGAATGAAGTAAAACTAAACGATTACCAGACGGCTGTTTGCAAATTGACCAAAATACAATTTAACCAATTTTTGTCCAAAAAAAGAGCTAATAAAACGCTTTTGCTGCGTACGCTAACAAAGATTATTTAAGACTAAGAATCTAAAAAAAATCCACTGCTTTCAATAATCAATTTGAACAAAATATTCCACGCCCTTAGCCCTTTAGAAGGCGGTGGGGGTGGGGTTGGAAATTACGTCAAATGCTGCTAACAGGTAGATTCTATTACCTTGCGACTTGGACCGAGGGTCTGTCTTGTTATGAAGTTGTGAATAGTGTCGGTGGAAGTGAGTGGTGTACGATCCGCGCTTTAAAACGCATCCTACTGAACTACCCCATCTGATGCGGCCGAAGTGGTTGCATTCGATCGGTATATCACAATCTATAACTTAGTCTTTTATTCCCCGAACAACGCAACCAAATGAAGAAATTATACCTCGAACAGGATAACTATGTGGCCCTCACAAAACTTTCCTTGATTTTTAAAACCCCAAATGAGTGGCTAGCATCTACTTTTTCCTTATATTTTAAACACTGAATTTAACTTCCAGCCCAAGAGGTCTAAGGAAATGATCGCCAACTTCAGAAGTTCTTGATTGCTAAACAAATTCTCCTTTTCAATACCATGGGAAGTCAACACAGAACAGTGTGGAAAATATGCATTCTGCTGTCAGGAAAATTTAGGTAGAATGACTCTTCCGCCGGACCTGGCTTTGTCCGTTTGTTTGAGAAGAAAACTTATTACTGTTTGCTATAAACCAGGTGCTACTGAACCATATTTGCTTTGTGTTTTCTCCACAAAATTCGTCATTAGTAAAGATATTTAAGCTTTGTGACAGCTTTAACAAATAACTGCCAAAGGTCAGGAATAACATCAAGCGTTAATCACGCTATCTGTAGAAACGCCAAACTGACGGTCTAAAAGCTTTTCATGTGTAGCTAATATTGCAAGCAGTGGACATTTAACGGGGTGGAGTTGCGGCCGTAAAACGTGTTAAAATTTCATCACTGATAAACAACCCAGTCATCAGTGCTTTTCAAACAGGCATTTTGAGCCGTTTGACGAGCAAAATAATTTCAACGAGAGGAAAATCAACCAGACATGTTAGTGTAGTGAGATGTGAAAAAAGGAAAATGAAGCGATTAAAGGTGAGAGATTTGCTAGGAATGGTGAGGATAAAAACAGATTGCCATCAACCAAACAGCAATAGAAAAAGTTGATTTAAGCAATAGACCAACGAGAAATTAAGGTAGCTCCTGTTACGAGAAAACGGCGGAGTATTTTTCAAATTCATCATCTTTTCCTCGAAAGCCTTATTGAAACAATTACACCTCTGAAGGCGCTATATTGCTCTACTTTTGATTTGATTCGTTGGCGTAGCATCAATACATGATGAAAGTCACAAAGACGTCGCAGTTTAATGCGACTTAAGGCGAGCTTACGAAGTGATACACGTTTACTCAAATTAGTGCGAATGGTAGACTATTCTAATCTTTTTGGGGGCTCATCAGGAAATACGGTAGCTGGCAATGCCAGTGGGTAATATGTAGCCTACTTGTAGCTGTACCCTCCCCCCCCTAAGAAAAAACCATCCCGTCCTTTGTTTCTGGGGGGGGGGGGACGGGTACGGCTACATGTAGGCTAGGCAATATGAAGCGAATCCTTTTCTGATTGGCTACATGAGAGGAAAAAATTGCGTGGTGCGGACTTACCAAGTTTATAATTTTTGGACAATGTCGGCAATGGAGTCGAGAGAATTAGTTTCGAGCATTGAATTTGTTGAGATATGTTTTGTTTCGAACAAAGCAGGAGAGGTGAAACAAGAGAAAGACGTTCTAGAGGTCAAAAGTCGTTTTAGTAGTCGTATATCCTGTTTATTTGATTCAAGCAGAAACATATTGCTTTTCTGTCAATCATGCTGGCAAGGATTTCGTTAGGCATAACCTTAAGGTGAAAGAAGGAAAATTTGGAATGAAGGGGACCAACGTCAGACGTATGGACTCGTCACTACAACAACAATGACGAAGTCAAAAGAAAACAAGACTTGGACGTAATCCTGTGGTGCAGATGGTCAAAACCTTATTTTCTGATAGCCTTCTGCGGTAAATAATTAAAAACTTTTGAGACAAATAAAGCAACAACTCCAACAACAAAGGAAAACACCAAAATCTGACTTGAACAGTCTGTGTTTTTTACCCCACTCGACGTCTGTCCAACATGTCTAATTTCTAGATTGGGTCTAGAATTGAACTGTTTCCCTACTGGCACAAAGTAGAATTAAGTCAACTGACAACACAAGTAGCCTAGGTTCAGAGTCTCATTAATCCGATCTAGAGACTAAAAACGAGCTAAACGGCTGAAAAGCAGTCTACAAACTCACCCAATTATTGAAAGGAGTTTGTTTCTATTCAACACTCTGATATTTGGGTTAAGAATGCGACCGCTTATTATCACACAAATCCTTGGCACTGGCACTTTTTCCAAGATAACAACTTTTTTAGTGAAGACCGCTCGTTGTTCGTTGTTGGGTAACCTGAGTTGACGATAATGTTGGTCAGTATCAAGTTAGTTTGTTGCACCTCTGTCAGTCCCAACCAACTCCACTATAAAGGGGGCAAATTTTTTAAAGAAAGTGTGGTGCTGCGTCGGTGGGAGAGTAACTCCAGTACAATTGCTAAGCATCGCACGTGACAACGGGAGGTACCAAAGGTGCCAAAGCTCATTTCAGTTGGAGATTTCAAAGTCCACTCCTATTAAATAGATCATTTTTGAGTTTTTTTTTTTAGGCGTCAGGGCGAAGAGTGGTATATTGTTCAGACCGATCAGATCGCCGCATTTGGGTATATATCTCGCACCAGTCATATCATAGCATTTGGATATCTTGCACCAATCACAGCGTTTAGTAATTGTTTTCTTGCAAATGGTGTCATGAAATCAGGGGGCTGTGCACAAAGAATGACATCAAACAGAAATTTTGGGCTCATTTGATAAGTGTAACTGATATTTACTTTTGCTAAGAAGTATTTAGTAATAAAAAAAAACACCTGTGTGGGTTCAGATGAATTAAGTTCTTTTCCCTTTTTCCGTAGTCTCGTCCGTTTGAAAGGTATACTCTTTTTCTGTTATGAAAATGAAATCGGTCAGCCGAAAAAATAACTCTTGCATGCTGCTAAGGTAAAGACCTGATATGTGATATGTTATCTTAACACTCTACGCAAAAGAAATTTGATCAGAGAGCTAGAGTCTAAAAAACCATTTCTATTACCGTAAAAATATTTTCTAAGGCTATCCTCTACTTTGCTTATCCGCTATGTCCTCGATAGTAACAACCTTGTTCAAAGCCACTCTCGGTTTACTAGTCAACAAAGGTAGAGATAAGGCCGCAGAGATTCTGAAAGATGGCGATGTAACAGATCGAAGACTCCACTCCTTGATCGTCCGTGAAATAGACGACATCAAGTCCAAGTTGGACGCTTTATCGAAGAAAGATTTAGAAGCGAGTATCAGTTTCTTTGAGGAAGGAATTGCGTTGTTGTATGAAGTGTTTGACATAGTAAAGTCTAGAAACAAGCGTGGTGCGGCAACAGCACAAGCAGCTTGCGATGAAGCATTTTCTCTCGTTGAAGGAATCACAAGGTTAGAGCTTACTGGCCTGGACGAGTCTGCTACAAGAAAGCTTTCCACTGCAAAGGAAAGATTCAAAGATGCTCGAAGGAAAGCAACGAGGGCCTTTAAAAACGAAGGCCTCAAAACATCTGACCGCATTCTGGCCATGAAGTATCGAGTAATGGCAACGATATTGGAAACAGTAGACAATCCCGCTGATGCAGTGGCACCATGTGGAGTGTGTGTAAAGGAACTTAACAGTCTGTCAGCAGTACAGAATAGCTTTGACGTTCAGCTCAAGACAGGCATTCAGAAAGTGAGGGGTTTACTTGGTAAAGAGGAAAGAAGGGAAATAATTTTTAATGTTTGTCATGTGAATCGCGTGATCTCTGATATTGCGCTCGCATTGGGGAGAGTTGACTTCAGCCCGAGTGTTGATATTGGAGAAAATAAGGTTATTCCATTGTGTGACGCGAAAGTAAAAGACGTGTTACTCAAACATGGCAAAGAGTATTGTTGTGTTCCACCAAGGTCACTTGGTCAGGAGGGTAAAGAGGAACACAAGCAAACAGACTTGCATCACGTGAAAGTGTTTGACAACAGCGGCAAGTTTATGAAACAATCGAGTCTCTCTACCGATGAAGTAAATGCAACATATGCTTATGAAGTTGCCACAGACATGAACGACAACATCTTCGTGCTGACCAAACTGGAGAAGCCTGGGAGTGAGTTATCTTATTGGGTTTATAAACTTACTAAAACCGCTGACCTGCATCACAAGTTTCGTCTGAGGGGAGAGGGCAGGTACAGCGGACTGTCAGTCAGTGATGAAGGGAAAGTGGTGACCTTGAGGAGGGAGAGAGTAGTAGAGGAATATGACACTGATGGAGAGCTTGTTCGCAGTTTTGAACTTGAAAGAATGAAGTTCTTGTGTGGTGTCACTGTTGCTAATGACGGCCGTGTTATGGTAATGCAACAAGATGGCTATGAACCCTGTGTTCACATATTCAGTGAATCCGGCAACTATCTAGACAAATTCAAACTGCAAGAAATTATGTGTTGGTACAGTAGCATTACACTTCACCGAGAAAGTGAAGAAGTCGTTGTCGCCGGTGCTATAAAAAAAGAACTCCTGAAGATTGAAATGTACAGTAAAGATGGTGAGTTTGTGCACTGTACAGAAATCCCAGTTGATGCTGTGATCTATTCTGTGTCAGGGATTACGGTGACAACCACGGGACACATTGCTTGTATTGCAGATAACAAGGTATTTAGTTCTTGAAGAGTGGTAAGGGGGAGGTCCAAAAAGAAGAAAAATTTGTTAACATCTTTAAGATTCACGTTTATCTAAAAGAAAAAATTCACAGTTCACATGGTCTTAATTTCATATTGTTACAAGTCATGAAAAGTAAAAAGTCACTTGTTTAATCCTGCATCATCCAAAAGCCTCTCTTTGAACTGCTGGTTTTGATGGTTTCTTGTTTTTCTAAATTGTTCAGCTATCTTTTTTGGCTGAATTCATTTTTAAGAAGTAGTTTATTTCCATATTTTCTTTTTGACTTTAAATTTCCAGAGTGTACCTAGCTTTAATGTAAATTTTTGAAAGATTATATGAAGAGTTAGTTTTGATTGTGATGACTTTAATGACAGAACATTTAGTTTCCTTCTTAGTATGTAAATGAACAGTCACATGTATTTGAAACATTTTATTTACATGTTAATATTGCGTAGTAAGGTTTGTTTTTGGAGGGAGGGGTAGGAAGGATTTGCAGAACCTTGGGATGAAATTGATTTTATTTCCTGATTTAACTCTTGGCTAGGTTGGTTGGTTTTGACTTTGCCTCTCGATGCATTACAAGTTTGTTATTGTTTCATGTTTTATTATAGGCTGTTTATCCTATTTCTTTATACATTGAAATGATTTTATTTTCAAATAGTGAAAGTTTTAGCCAAAATTTAATGCATTTTATTGCAAATTGTAGTCAGAAATTTCTATAAAAATTATTGTGTTGTTACATAAAAATTGTTTGATTTGTAAAATACCAAAACTTGAGAGAGTTAGTGGTTGGGTATCAAATTGAACATAATCAACTAGACCAATACCTCCTGAGTAAGGCTCGTTACGCCGTAAAGTCGAGAAGTGGTATGCGATCCGAGAGAAAGGAGGGGTTTTTGCTACGTCATCCCTTCGTCGGCGTGAAAACGAGGTTTTAAAGTGCATAACATTTGTTTACTCCCTTTTTCAACACCCTTATCAACATTGGCCGTCCAAATACCCAGGTAGCTCAAAACACTTGCTTCATTGGTTTAATTTTACTTCAAGGTGACGTCACGTGACTTATCATGTGACAAGAAAAATCCTAAAGAAGCCCTTGAAAATATTAAAAAATCTTTGTCTATTAAATTTGATTCTTGGCCTCTGTTGTCAAACCTTTTTATAATTTGGCTGTCCAAAACGTTCACTTCACCATTAACAAGTATTTTGTTCTTTGTTTAATGATCGAAGATCAATGCTTGGTCGATTAAATGACAAAACATGCAAGCGAGGCTGACGCTCTAAGCTGTCAATCCTCTACCTCTAGTTCAAGATGATAGTTTTAAAGTTTTCAGGCTGTCATTACAGTGAATCCTTGAAGAACTAACATCAAGACATCAGTATTGCGCGGAACATTATTCATTACTCAAGTAATAGTCGTACCAAGCTTCCAAAGCACATAGGCCTTGCACCGTGTGTGCACCATCTCACCTCATCGCGTCTCCTTATAACACTCCACAACAAAATGGGACACTGTCGCAGTTATGACAAACTGCGTGCGACAGACACTAGTATCGCAGCGGAAGTACTTGCTGAAGCGGACGAGTATGGCACTGTCGTACCGAAAACAAAGCCTGGCCCCGATTGCTCGAAAGTTGGATAACGCTATCCACTGGATAAAACTCTATACGGTGGATACACTTATCCATCGGAGAGCAATAATACCATGGGTCAGGAAGATAGACTGAGTAATAGCATTTGATCTTGCTATGTGTGTGAAGGCCAAGCAAATACAGTGGAGGCTTGCAAACAAGTTTTCCGAAGTTGTGATTCGAATGGGTACGTTTCATATCGCATTGAACTTCTTGGTGATTATTGGCAAAAAGTACCTAAACTCGGGCCTTGAAGATCTGCTGATCGAGAACCGTACTCACAGTCCTCTGCCAGCCTGTATAAATCTTGAATGAAGGCATCCACCGACTCACCAAGTAACTAGTGTCGTTTGTTAAACGAGATCTTTGTATTATCAAATTGCGGCGAACATCGAAATAACTATTGAAAGCAGTGCGAACTTGTCATATGTAGCTTTTTTTTCGTCGATTCGGAGTGGCTAGAATGTCATACTGGCGTATTCGCAGGGAGTGGAAGTTGACTTGGCTGTTGCGGATTAATTTCGTTTTCTTGTGCTTCAGAAGGCAACCCTGAGGTTTTTTTTGTGCGTGATACTGCTGCAGTGTCGAGCATTTTAAGGGTTAAGGACCGCTGCCACCATGTATGATTTAAGACTAGTTGAACAACAACACCTTTATTGAAGATGGCGACCCATGTAAGCACACGGTTCCAGCGTGCAACGCGCAAGGTTAACGTGGTTGACAACGGTAGAGATTGGCCTAACCCTACAACCACCACCACAAGGTAACGATTGGCACCCAGAGGGTAAAATGTTGAAACTTGTCCTGATGACCAGAGACCCAACACCAAGAAGTCTGTTTGAACTAACCACATGCCAATGTAGAAGATCTATGTGCCATGCAAGTTGTTCCTGTTCTGGTATTGGCCTTCCCTGTACAGAGTCCTGTTTGTGCACAGCAGATGAAGAAGCCTGCCAGAACCCTCATCGCACGCCGCTTCATTTTGATAGTGACTCTGAAGATAGTGACAAGGACTAGCTATATAGCTAGTGTTCTGTCACGCGTGTCACGCGTCTAGCGTTACCACACAGTTTAGCATTGTAGCAAGGTATCATGGTATTGATTTTCCATGTGATTTAGGGATTGTCATTGTATTGTCGTGCTCGCTGGTGAAAACCCTTTCTCGTTTCACCGCGAAAATTTACTTCGAATAAATCTGGTTACACTGACTGATGAAGGATTTACGTCTCTTTTGTTACGGTGAGCAAACTTATGGATCAGGGTCCAAAGGATCAGAATAGCTGGGCACCTCTTTAACCACATAAATAGTTAATTACTCTGGAAAACCCTAACGTACAATTTTTAACAGTATGATGTACACAATTTGAGATGCACTGTTTCTTACAAATTGGGTAAAAAATCGATCAACGTTCTAACGCAGTTGCTTTTTAGTAGTAGTTTTGCAAAATTGAAACTGTTTGTTACTGTCGATTGTAAACATAGGGAACATCTTGGTCAAGACTACTTTATATTACTACATGTAAATCGTTTACCGGAAAAAAAATGAATGTCAGCTCTTCAAGGATTCACTGTAGTGATAGTCTGAAACTTTAAAACTATCATCTTTAACGAGAAGCAGAGGATAAACAATTCAGAGCATCAGCCTCGTGTTCATGTTTTGTCATTTAATCGACAAAGCATTAATCTTCGATCATTAAAAGAAGAAAAAAATACCTGTAAATGGTGAAGTGAAGGTTTTGGACAGCCAAATGATAAAAGGTTTGTGATAAGAAAGGCCGAGCATCAAATTTCATACTTGTTTATAAAAAGACAAGGATTTTTTATATTTTCAAGGGTTTCTCCAAGATTCTTCTTGTCACGTGATAAGTCACGTGACGTTGCCCTATGGTGAAATTAAACTACGAAGGAAGTATTTTGAACTAACTGAGTATTTGGGCCGCTTATGCTGATAAGGGTGTTAAAAAAATTAGTAAACAAACGTCATGCACTCTACAACCTCGTTTTCACGCCGGCGAAGGGATGACGTAGCAAAAACCTCTTCTTTCTCTCTGATCGTATACCACTTTTCGACTTTACGACGTAGTGAGCCTTACTAAGGAGGTATTGGTCTGAAAAAATCCACTGTCAAACCTTTTCTAGCTCGTGGGTTGAACGAAACCCCGATTTTCCGGTCTCTGCTACCTGACTATTACAAACAAAGTAAGAGTTCAACTAGCGTATCAAATAAATGACGTCACGCGGCCTCAAACCCTTCGTTGTCTTCTGTGTCATTACCGTAAAAATAGTTTCCGGGTGCTACCTGTACTTCGCTTATCCGCAATGTCCTCCATAGCAACAGCCTTGTTCAAAGTCACTATCGGTTTGCTAGTCGACAAAGGCAGAGATAAGGCCGCAGAGATTCTGAAAGATGGCGATGTAACAGATCAAAGATTCCACTCCTTGATCGTCCGTGAAATAGACGACATCAAGTCAAAGTTGGACGCGTTATCGAGAAAAGATTTAGAAGCGAGTATCAGTTTCTTTGAGGAAGGAATCGCGTTGTTGTATGAAGTGTTTGACATAGTAAAGTCTAGAAACGAGTGTGGTGCGGCAGCAGCACAAGCAGCTTGCGATGAAGCATTTTCTCTCGTTGAAGGAATCACAAGGTTAGAGCTTACTGGCCTGGACGAGTCTGCTACAAGAAAGCTTTCCACTGCAAAGAAAAGATTCAAAGATGCTCGAAGGGAAGCAACGAGGGCCTTTAAAAACGAAGGCCTCAAAACATCTGACCGCATTCTGGCCATGAAGTATCGAGTAATGGCAACGATATTGGAAACAGTAGACAATCCCGCTGATGCAGTGGCACCATGTGGAGTGTGCGTAAAGGAACTTAACAGTCTGTCAGCAGTACAGAATAGCTTTGACGTTCAGCTCAAGACAGGCATTCAGAAAGTGTGGGGTTTATTTGGTAAAGAGGAAAGAAGGGAAATAATTTTCAATGTTTGTCATGTGAATCGCGTGATCTTTGATATTGCGCTCGCATTGGGGAGACTTGACTTCAACCAGAGTGTTGATATTGGAGAAAATAGAGTTATTCCATTGTGTGACGCGAGGGTAAAAGACGTTTTACTCAAACATAGTAAAGAGTATTGTTGTGTTCCATTACGGTTATTAGGTCAGGAGGGTGAGGAGGAACACAAGCTGAAGGACCCGTTGGGTATCGCTACAAACTCCAGCGGAGAATTTATTGTAACAGACTTGCATTACGTGAAAGTGTTTGACAAAAGCGGCAAGTTTGTGAAACAATCGAGTCTCTCTACCAATGAAGTAAATAAAACATTTGCTCGTGAAGTTGCCACAGACATGAGCGACAACATCTTCGTGCTAACCAGACTGAAGAAGCCTGAGAGAGAGAGATCTTATTGGGTTTATAAACTTACTAAAACCGCTGACCTGCATCACAAGTTTCGGCTGAGGGGAGAGAGCTTGTACTGGGGACTGTCAGTCAGTGATAAAGGGAAAGTGGTGACCTTGCGGGACTTGGATACAGTGGAAGAATATAACACTGATGGAGAGTTTGTTCGCATTTTTGGACAAGGAATAATAAGCTCAGCGTTTTCTGTCATAGTTACTAATGATGGCCGTGCTATGGTAGTAGATGAAGATGACCACTGTGTTCACATATTCGGTGAATCCGGCGACTATCTTGACAAGTTCAAACTGCAACGAATTGACTATTATGACGCAAGCATTACATTTCACCGAGCAGGTGAACAAGTCGTCGTTGCTGGTACTCGAGAGGGTAAACCCCTGCAGTTTGAAATATACAGTAAAGATAGCGAGTTTGTGTACTGTGCAGAAATCGCAATTGATGGTGGGATCAGTTCTGTGAGAGGGATAACGATGACAACCAAGGGACGCATTGCTTGCGTTACACGTGACAAGGTATTCATTTTTTGAAGAGGGTTGTAAAGGGGAGGTCCAAAAGAAGAAAAATTTGATAAACAACGTTAAGATTCACATTTCTCTAAGAGGAGAAATACACAGTTCACATGGTCTTAATTTTTATATTGTTACAAGTCATGAAAAGTAAAAAGTCACTTGTTTAATCCTGCATCATCCAAAAGCCTCTCTTTGAACTGCTGGTTTTGATGTTTTCTTGTTTTTCTAAATTGTTCAGTTATCTTTTTTGGCTGAACACATTCGTAAGAAGTAGTTGATTTCCATATATCCTTTTTGACATTGAATTTCCAAAGTGTACGTAGCTTTTATGAAGATTTTGAAAAATTATATGAAGTGATAGTTTTGATTGTGATGACAGAACATTTAGTTTCCTTCTTAGTATGTAAACGAACAGTCACATGTATTTGAAACATTTTATTTACATGTCAATATTGCATATTAAGGTTTCTTTTTGGAGGGAGGGGTGGGAAGGATTTGCAGAACCTTGGAATGACATTGATTTTATTTCCTGATTTAACTCTTGGCTAGCTTGGTTGGTTTTGACTTTGCCTCTCGATGCATTACAAGTTTGTTATTGTTTCATGTTTTATTATAGGCTGTTTATCCTATTTCTTTATACATTGAAATGATTTTATTTTTAAATAGTGAAAGTTTTAGCCAAAATTTAATGCATTTTATTGCAAATTGTAGTTAGAAATTTCTATAAAAATTATTGTGTTGTTACAAAAAACTTGTTTGATTTGTAAAATACCAAAACTGGGTATCAAGCTGAACATAATCAACTAGCCAATACAAACTTGTTCACTTAATTCATAGGGAAACCTTTTCATAGTTTCCTTTCATGCAATGGATTTATTGAAAGGAATGATAGAAAATCGAAGAAGTATGGTTTTAGCAGAAAAAATTTAAAAAACCAGTTGAGTTAATGTGGCCTGTCATTCCTGTTTATTCCTTTGGTAATGTATTAAAACAATTTTTACTTAAATCCAAAGATTTTATCCCTGCCATTTTCAGGATGTTTATTAGTCATTGCACAATAGAGAATTATCTTGTTACTGTGCATGTGCAAAATTTTCCAGTCAAATTTAAATTTTCTGAGCTATTTTTTCTTTTGCTTATGAGGTTTATTCTCCTGTTACTACCAGAACATCTTTCAAGAAGACTCTTCACTTTGCCTTTAGCAGCACCTATTTTGAGCTCTGTGTGATACTATAAGACTGTGATTATCATTCACTTACCAGGCAATCAATGTCACAAGTAAACAAGTTACTTTGTTAGTATAATTAGTAGTCTGATTAGTATACTTATTTTATGGAAAATGCTGAACAACTTTTAACCCTTTAAATCCCACAATCTGATGGTAACTTCTCCTCTCTTGCCACTACACATTTCCTTGTAAATAAGTTAGGAGAATTTGGTGTTAGGTTGAGATAACTTCTTCTTGATAAGTTTGAGTATTCTGATGACCTGTTTGCTGTCAGATAATGTTTAGATATTATAGGGAGAAGTTACTTGTTAATCACTTTGGGAGTTAAAGGATTAACAGAATTTTATTGGATTTCAGTGCGGCTTAATATGCCCACTTCAATTATTGAACAGTCTCATTCCTAAGCAATATCACTTTCAATTGATTAATAGAGTCTATTAAACCTACATTGTGGCAACTTAATACTCACTGAGGTTTAGTTAAATTGAAATTCCTAAAGATTGGATTTGTTTATCATGATGTCTTTAGTATTCCTTACAAAGCATTATTTTTGTATACAGTATGGCAATAGCATTGTTGTGGGTAACCAGTCAACTCGCCGACGGACCAACTCGCCGACGCCAACTCGCCGACGTATAAAATCGAGTAGAGACGTCGGCGAGTTGGTCGTCAATCCAATACAACTTATTAGAAGTTAAACATACAGAGAAGTAAACGAAATTTAGTAAAAAAACTCTGGCGAACATTGGTGAACATCAAACAGAAGCTTAAACATCGGTGAACATTGGTGAACATCACCAATGACTATAACAGCTTAAGACGCGAACGAGTTATTGTGCGACAATAACACCGTAAAGACTCATCATGTCAATCGCTCAGATTTTTTAACGAAAACTTGGCTTTCTAGACGAGATCTTTAGAAAAATGCAATTATTTTTATTTGCAACAAAGTTTATAAGGATCTTAAGGCGAATAAAGCGAAGTAAACCTCACCAACGACTCTAACAGCTTCAGACGCGAACGAGTTATTGTGTGACAACAACACCGTTAAGACTCAGCATGTCAATCGCTCAGTTTTTTTAACGAAAACTTGGCTTTCTAGACAAGATCTTTAGTAAAAAGCAATTCTTTTTATTTGCAACAAAGTTTATAAGGATCTTAAGGCGAATAAAGCGAAGTAAACATCACCAACGACTCTAACAGCTTCAGACGCGAACGAGATAAATTATTGTGTGACAACAACACCGTAAAGACTCATCATGTCAATCGCTCAGATTTTTAGACGAAAACTTGGCTTTCTAGACGAGATCTTTAGTAAAATGCAATTCTTTTTACTTGCAACAAAGTTTATAAGGATCTTAAGGCGAATAAAGCGAAGTAAACCTCACCAACGACTCTAACAGCTTCAGACGCGAACGAGTTATTGTCTGACAACAACACCGTAAAGACTCATCATGTCAATCGGTCTTATTTATTTAAGTCAAGACGCTTGGTAAAAAGTCAACGCACAAATATATTTTTTGGTCTTACTACTCGTGTTAAATGCAATCGAAAGTGACGGTTTTCTGTGGAGAGCCTCGAGGCGATTAAAGACCTTGTTTTCTGGCGCACAGCTGTTTTCAAACGAGGCGCTCATTTTTTAAAACCAACATGTTTACCTAACACGAGGATCCCTCTTTGCAAAGGCGCCGAATTCGTGTAACTATGTTGATAATACAAGATACACTGATCAAAGCAATGATTTCTAGTTTTTGCAAGAGCATGTATTTGAGTTATTTTCGTTTTCAATCAAATGCGTGGCAAGATGAGGGTGTGATATTTTTTCACTCACAAGTCTCACAACGAAAGAAGGTGCAAGGTTTTTATTTACTTTTGAAAAAAGCAGGTCTTGCTTAAAAGCAAGTCTCTCCCATTTAAAACTATCAGAGTTTTACAGCGGATTCTAACAATCTTTGTTAAAAGTAAGGAGCTATCAACAGCTTCTCCAAATTTTCGGAGAGAGCAGGCGCTGGCGCACAGCTGTTTTCTAGTTTTCAACCAAACGCGCGGCAAGACGAGGGTGTGATATTTTTACTCACAAGTCTCACAATGGAGAAGTTACGAATTTTTTTTTTGTTTTATATTCTCTTTCGAGAATTTGAAAGATGAATCTGACAGCGTCAATGACGAATATACACGTAACCTGTTGAGCAAAAAAAAAAAAAGAAACAAGCAGGACATGACGATGCGAAAAAAATCTCAGCTCCTGCTAAAAAATTGTGGGAGGAGATTATTCAGTTTTTCGTGCTTACGAAGCGCATTGTTCTAAATTTTCTGTCCAATGTTTTTTTACTAAATACCGTTTAATTTTCTGTATGTTTAGCTTCTAATAAGTTGTATTGGATTGACGACCAACTCGCCGACGTCTCTACTCGATTTTATACGTCGGCGAGTTGGTGTCGGCGAGTTGGTCCGTCGGCGAGTTGACCGTAAACCTTGTTGTGCATTACAATTTTCCTAATGTGTTTTTTGTATCTACAGCTCTAAGCTGATTCAGTAGGTTTAATTAGAAGAGTTATTGAGTTACTTTTTTTTACGACTAACAATGCTTTAAAACTGTAAAGTAATTTAGAGGGGTGAATTGGTTTGCAGATATTTGGATTTAGGTTTTATAACTCACTCATTGCCAATTTTATGCAATATTTTGTAGATTTGAAACACTTGCTTTGAATTCTGGACTCAATGCATTTGATAATGTGGAGTGTGGATAGGAGATAAGTCAGTAAGGTAAATTATCAAAAGGATTCATGAATAATTTATTTTACTTTTATTATTCAGTCGAACAATGCTTGAAAACAACAGACTATAATGTAGAGGGGGTGGATAGGTTTGGAGATATTTGGGTGTAAGAACTTACATGCTGCAGATTTTTTCAGAACACTGTGTTGGTGGTCATTCCAACAGATTTTAAAGATAACATTGATCATGGATCACCTGTTTGTCAGCATGGATTCCAGATTCAATTTGTTTTTTAATGAAGATTGATCAATGACACACTGTTGGTCTCTGGTACACTTAAGTCTGTTTATTGATCTAATATTTGTTGACTTAATTTTTTCAGTTTTCAGTATTCAGGGAAACTTGGAAAAAACATTGTCAATTTATAGACCCTGACAGCAGAGTAGTTCAGTTTGTAATTAGCCATAAGGCTACTTTTTCAAATACCAAAATGGAAAGAAAACTTGAGATAAAATCCTTTTACTATAGGAGAAAAAAAGGGATGCGACCACATTGCACACTTCTGGAAGTTTCACAGATCTGACTTTCATTTTTACTAACAATAAGATAAACAGTTTAGGTAAAAAATATGACAGAATTTTGGGGCTGCATAGCCCTATTTACCCTCTTTTCTCCCTCTTAGTGAAGATTAACCCTTTAACTCCCATGAGTGACCAAGACGGAATTTCTCCTTACAGTATCAATACCATATCAACCAGATAAGTGATGAGAATAAAGAAATATATCAATTTGGGGATAATTTGTTGATCCAATACTTAGTTCTCTGTTTATAAGAACTGTATGGTTGACGGTAAGGAGAATTACAAATTTGGTCTGGGAGTTTAAGGGTTAAGTTTGTTTTGTATTTAAGTGTTAAAATGTATAACCACATTTTGAAATAAATATTGCACATGTGTGATTTTGATTAAGTTCTGGTTGTGCTTTTTTTTTGTCCTGATTGTGTTTTACTTTCTTCATGCATTTGTGGACAATTTTATCTTCAGTGATGGATGATAATAGTAAGGAATATACAATAGAACTGCACAAAAAGTAGGTGTGCAAAAACGTGTGGGTCAGGCTTTCCCCCTAACAACTGCCACTGCTGTTTTTTTATTTTACCAACTCAGTAAAAATGTTTGCAACAACCAAATAGGCCTGAAAATACACTGGTTCCATTTGGAGATTAACTATGATACTGGAATCAAGCACCCTGCTCGAAAAAACATTGGCCTATGGTGCTGTATCATGGACAAATATATCAATCTCACAATGGGATTTTTTTTGTCTCTCAAATAATATTTGACTATATTTTTGACTATGGCTGGTATGATTTGCCATTGGATGTGCTCATAAAACAAACACACTCCAAACTTTTGTTTTATAGTGCATATAAGATCTGCAAAAGGCCAAGTTTAATATTAAGGTAACAGCCTTTGTGTTTGGACATCAATAACCAGCATGTTTGGAAAGACTTACTTAACATAAAGGAAAGCTTAGCTTTCAATTTTGAAGGTCATCATTTGCAGCTGTGTTTATCTTTGCCACCCTTAACTCTCGAACTCCCTTGATCTGATTGTTAATTCTCCCCTCTAGCTGCTACACATTTCCTTGTAAATTAGTTTTGGAGAACTTGTTGTTGGATCAAGATAGCAGCTTCTACCTGATAAGTTTCAATATTCTTGTTACTTGTTTGCTGAATAATATATGGATATTAAAGGGAAAGTTTCATGTTAATCACTTCTGACAGTTAAAGGGTTAACTTTTCACACTTTGCAGCACCTCACTCCCACAGCTACCCGCAGCATGCTGACAAATTTTTTTTTTACTACTTTTTTTTTTAACTGGTGCAGAGTACCTTGCCAAACAGAAGGGTGGCCCATAGTCCACCTAAAAACAGTATGCATATTCTCCTCACTGTAGTCTATACATTCCCAATGGTACTGACAAGGAGAATATGCACAATGATCAACAGCTTCATTAATTAGATATCATTTCTTACATTCTTATGACCTTACTGTTTAATTTCATCATGATTCTGTTGAGAAAAATTAGATTGATACTCTCAAGAGTTAATCTTTTTGGCTATATTGATATATTTACCTCTTTTATAGTGTTTGTCAAGTCTAGCAAACAATTTTTTCAAGCTCTTACTCTATGAAAAGGAAAAACAAATGGGCAATAAAAATGACAAAATTATCATTATGCATAACTGTATGGTAATGTGCCAATCATCTTCAAGTTGAAAGCTTGGCAATCCATAGACATTTCACAACTCCTTATACAAGAATTATATCTCTAACCCTTTACACCCTGACATCAGTACCCATATTCTCCATGCTGGTCTTAATACATTTCCTAACTTGCTGGCAAGGAGAATTTGTTTAACAATCGATTGGTTCTTCAGTTAATTATCATTTTCTCTATTCTCATGACCTTGACATTTGATTCATGGGTGAAATTGAAAGGAGAAATTAGATGCTGGTCACTCAGGCATTAAAGGGCTAAATATGGAGGTATTTAAGGTAAATACATGTAGTTCACCTTCATGAGTCAATGGCTCAACAAAAGGACTACAAGGTCTTGGTTGTGCAGAAAGTGGTCCCTGATTTTGCCTTCTACAAAAACATTGGGTGGGGTATTTTAACCGCAATTTTTTCCTTTGTGTGTGAAAATAAGTACACGCATACATTGGCTGCAACGTGAAAAAAATCTCATTGTCTATACAAGTGAAGCTCAACCTACATTTTCAACAGTTACACAGGCTCATATGGAAAAAGAAAAGACTTCAAAGTAAGCTGGTCAAATTAATATAGAGTCCTTCAGAGAAAAAGCCTGTCTTTGTGGTCACATTCCAAATTAAGTGAGTTTACCTGGTACACATCAGTTCTGATTCTCTTGTTAGCTTTGTCAACTGAGTCAGACAGTAAGTCCAGTTGTTGGAGTTGTCTGTCTTGTTCCTCTTGTATGCCTAGAGCTAGAGACCTCGTGTCTTGTAAGACTCGGCCCATTTCTGCGGCCTCAGCATCAGTAACTGTCTTGGAGTTTTTTTCTCTGGTTGGAACCCCAATGGAATCTTCCTCTCTCTTTTCACCTTCTGAGAAACAAATTAGTTTGTTTATAAACCTTGTATTAAAAAAGGGATTTGATAATTTCACTGTTTCACATTAATCTATTTGATCAAGTTTGTAAACACATTAATTGGTCCTGATCTGGCCTTGGGTTGTAGGATAAAGAGGACATAACTGGAAAATAAATTCTCTAGATGAGAGATGAACTCCCCTAATTAGGAGCAACTTTTTTTCCATTATGCAGTAGCTGGGCTAGTGAATTGAAATCCAAGATTTGAATTGCACACAAGATGAGGGGATCGATCTACATGTACATGCAGATCAAATATTCAATGAGCTGGAGAAAGTGGCTGAAGCTGTTGCAAAAGAGAAATATGCAGAGCCCTTTGTTATAATCAACAGTTTGAATCATTCTAAGATTGTGGATGTATTTTCTAATGATAAAAATTTTTGAAAAAAAAAATTGTGGAGTAAATTGCTGTATAATTGCCATGGTCTTCTTTGCAGTTGGTAGCAAACATAACAATTTCATGTTTGCTGTGTCTCTTTCTACATTGCTGAAATGATTCATTCTTACATCTATCACTGAATGACGATCAGGTCTTTTAAGGAAGAACTTCATATTTCTTTGACGAGTCTAATCACCTCCGAAGCAAAAATCAGGGTCTCCAATTGCTCCTTTGAGTAACACACGCCTAAGTTCGTTGACCAGTAATTTTCCTGACAAGAGAGTCCAGAACACAGCAAAGTTACATGTAATACTCCTTTGAAGCCAATAGCTTTATTGATCTGGTTTCAACCTGACTGATGGGGAGTCAAGCAAAGCATGCCCACTTTTTAGTTACTGACACTGTTGACAGGAGAAGTAAGGGTTTGAGAGAAAGTTTACACTGTTTTATGACTGTACATACCTTGCAGAGAAAACTTCTCTGAATCTGGATCATGACTATCTGAATCACCAGCATCATCAGGAGGTTCATCATAATTAATTTTTCCCGGCAAAAGAACCTCAATAGTTTGCTTATTGTCATCTCCCAAGGGGTATGAAGACTCACTTCTGTAATTTCCTTCACAGCAAAGGAAATAATTATGAACAAGATTCATAATGAACTTTAATTTACAATCTGGATGTATGGCTTAGCAAGTGGGATCTGGAAACTCACCAAGTACATATAGATGTCCCAGAGGACAGCACACTTATAGAAGAGGCTTAATATTCTGTGGTGTATGCAAGGACCTATAAAGAGAAACATTTTCCTGGCACTTTAGTGCTGTCAAAGAAATCACTGGAGATTTTTGATGCCGGAAGAAGTCTTGAAATTGCACAGGCAGAGTCGATTTGTTGTCCCTGTTTCTGCATAGTCCTACCAGTTGATGACAAAGTGCTTCGAGCATCATGTAAGATATTGAGGAGTTCTGAATTGCAAGGTGCATCACTGGTAGAGCTACAGAAAGGAAGAACATAGAATTCAAACTTACAAACATATGTTTCTTGCAATATATAAACATGATTGAGTAATTTATTATTGCAGAGATGCCAACCTCTGGACCACCACCCGACTGAATTTGCCGATGCAACTCCCTCCCAGAAAATTTCTTTTTTGATTTGGACCCCCTACCCACCTCCCCCCACTCCACCAAGCAGTCTGTCAGTGACTGAAATTGGTTTAATACTCATCCAATCAATCTCTTGCTTAAATAGGAGTAACAAAGAAAAAACCCTTTTCTTTTTGTTTACAACAACATGCATCACGCAAGAAAATGAAGCTAGAAACCATTATACAAGCATAAGAAGCCAGATGATTTTGGAATTTTGGAACATATGGAGCTTAAATCTTAGTTTTTTGTGGGCAACTGATCAAAACTTCCTCTTATCCAGGAGTTTTGGTCACCCGCACCGGAGAGCAGGAGATTGGCTCTGTATCCGGGAGACTTCCGGATAATCCTGGAGAGTTGGCATATACGTTATTGATATTTACATTTATCCTTAACTCCTTATACCCTAAGTATG